GATGAAATTGATACTTTTTTCAAAAGCTGTTTTTTTATATAAATTAATTTAAAATAAGATTAAGATTATTTTTTATTTAAGACTCAAAAATAGTTGTATAAATAAAATTTGTAATATAGCTCCTTAAAGTTTGCATTTTTCTATAATTTATTATAAGATTTACAATATAAAAAGTAATTTTCTAAAGATCTTTTTTTTGTCAATTTCATCTCTTTTCTTAGCACTTAGCCTATATGCTCTATTACTCAAACCTATTTCTATAAAAGATATAATACAAATAATGCAATAACTTCCAAACAACAAAGTCTGTAGACTATTAGTTATAAGCTATAAAATGCTTAAACATTATAGTTTATCAATGTAATAGACTATCATCTAACTATTTAACAAATGTCTTAACACTAATACAATATTTAAACAGTAGAATATATTCTATTTCAAAAAAACTTAACTTTAATAATAACCTTAACAATACTTACCCTATTAGTCTAATTGAATATACCAAAAATTATATGCAAAAATCTTAACCAGCTAACTTTTTATTATCTTATTATCACACCCAATTCTCAGGTTATAAAATTATGTTGCATTATCTGGTAATAGTACTAATACACTATTATATACCCTAAACAACTTTATTAAAAATGCTAAGAGCAATAAAAAACAAATATGACTACTTTTTCAGAATATAAGCAAAGTATATAATTTAGCTAATATTAATTTCTTAAAAAAATCATTGCATTATATTAAACTTTCACAATCCATAATTTGTATAATAACCAATTTGTTCAAATTATGCTTTAATTAAGTAATTACAAACTTTGGATTAACATTATTATATTCTGTATAAGATGACATTGATTAAAGAAAAACTATAACTTCTTTGCTATAGCAAATCTACTATAACCTTTTTATTAATCATATATATAAAAAATTTAAAAAATATATATTAACAGTCAAAGACCCAACATTTTTATTATTTACAAAGTATTAAACAACTCATACAAATACTTCTGTATTAGTATATATAGATAATACATTATAGTTAGCAGCATCTCAATAACTACTACAAAATATTATTAACATAAAATCTATATTTTACTAAATAGCAAACATTAAAATAAATTCTCAAAAATCCAATCTAATAACTAATACAAAACATATACCTATTTTTATTTTTCTAAACTCTACTATTACAATACAACTACACAATATATCTCTAAAATTTCTTAACTGCCAGTATACAGAAACCAACAAACAAGTCATTATAATCAAACTTATTTTACAAAAAATATTTGGTTTAACAAGTATAGTTCAAATCAAACAAATAACAGACAAACAAGTCTTTTATCTAATCAATAATGTTATAATTCCTATTATTGAATATTATATATATTATATAGTTTATAAATAAATCTTGTGTCTTGACTAGTATAGAAAATCTAATGTTCTCATATTATCAAAAGAATATACTTTTGGGTTTAGGAAGATTTGTTGCTTTAAACATGTTCTTTATAAAAAAAAAAATCAATTTCTTGGTTTCAATAAAAATAAAGAAAATTTGTAATATTTTGATTTATTACATTATTAATAAATTTTTTTTTTCAGTTAATTATATAAAAATATGTAATGTAGCAAAAATTAATAAAAATATTTAAATAAAAAATATGTTTAAAGCTATGTATAATTATATATTATTAATTTTTAAATTAAAGTTAGAGTAAGAGTTAGTATAAAATTAGGATAAGAATAAGTTTTATAATAAAATTACCTTTCCAAAATATAATAAGCTTTAAATTTTATTGAATAATAAATTAGAATATTACATTATGTATTACATTATGTATTATATTATGTATTACATATTAGCATAATGTTTTGTATTACAAAAATGAATTGGCAGTTATGAATATGAATTGGCAAAACCTGATACCAAAAAAATTAAAAAAATATCTTCTGATCTATAAACTATTAAAGTAATTTAGTAATTTATAAAGTAATTTAGAAGTTAGATGAGAGATATGTTTAAATATTTAAATTTAGACTATAGATATAATAAATCAATTAAACTCGACAATTTAAGCTATCTTTATTTATAAAAACTTATTTTTGTAATTTACTAATAAAGATACTTACTTGTCTATAATAAAGGTTAGTAAGATGAAGTTATAAGTTATAAGGCTAATAAATTTTATAGGAAGAGTTTAAAGCAAAATACTATAATAGTGCTATAACTATATAATAATTATTAAATAAAATTAGTTTAATATTAGAATAAGCATTAAAAATTGTTTTTAATTGTTTTTTATAATTATTAACATTCTAAAATAGGATTATATATTTATTTTATATATATATATTTTATTTGATTTATTTTTTTATAGATTTATAAGTAGTTTGTTAATTTTTTTAATAAAATTTTGATTTTTTAAAGTTTTATCTAGTTTTGTCTATTACAAGATTATAATTTGGATTTAAATTATTGAGATTTTATAATAATAATTTCTATTAATATTACTTTAATTACAGATATAATTGTTTTTTCATATATTATTATAGAATAAATTATTATTTTAGTATTATTATTATTATTTATTATTATTATTATTGTATTATTATTAGTAGTAGTTATTAGAACTTTTTAGTTATTTAGTAATTACTTAGTTAGTTAGTTACTTAGTCATTTAGATACTTAATTACTTAATTATTTAGTTATTTAGTAATTATTAATCATTAGTTACTAAAACCTTTTAATCACTTAGTAATTGCTTAGTTACTTAATCATCTAGTTACTTAATACTTAGTTACTTAGTTGTTAGTTGCTTGACCACTTATCTGCTTAGTTTACAGATATATAAACTCTACTAAATTCACTAAGTTCAATTAAGCAACAAATATCCATCTTCTTTTTAATATTGTAAACAAATCTTGGGATTTTTTAGAAACAGAAACCTAAAAATATTCTTTTTTGTTATTATTTTAATAAATAATTTTTAACTATAAATTGTATTGATACTTCTTCATTAGAATAATTCTTATATGCAAAGTTTATCTTCTCTTAGTAAAATAATGTAAAGTTATTAGTATTACATTACTTTTTCAAACTATCTCAGAAAAGAATATAGTTTCTTAATAATATCTAACAGAAACTATACTTTCCTTTTAGATATTGCATATACCCATAAGAGATTCTTTGTGCTGTGTTATCATTATAGTATGAAAATTAAGAAAGTTTTCACCTATAATAATATTAATTTTTTTGCTTGTAGAATGGTAGAAAATTTTGATAAATTTTAATAATTTTTGATTAACTAATAAAACTTTTACAATATCATGAGATGATCACAATGAAAGCCCGTGGTACAAGCGAAATGGCAAGTCAGTCGCTTGTCAATCAAATATGTTGTGTAACCTACGAACGGCTTAGTCGAAAGAGGTGGTTAGATTTGAAGAGTAGTATATTTTATGGTCGTAGGTATTATAATACAGTGAAGGCAAGTAATTATTTAGGGACAAGTTTTATGATAAGCACTAACTGAACTGTTCTTGTAGGGCGCGAAGCCTTTATTATATATTGTTATATTACATATAAGCTCTTTAAGGTACTAAAAGTATTAAACGTATTATATCCCTTATATCCCTTTAACGTCCTTTATCACTTAAAACCCTTAAATCTCGTATATCCCTTTTACTACCGTTTTCTCTTAAAACTCTTATTGCTCCTATATCTCTTAACAGATCGAAAAGACTTATAGGACCGATAATCACGGGAAGCCCATATTAGGTAGATGATTGACATAGCCGCTAATTGTTACTGCGCCACGTCGGTCACCTCCTTCCACGTGTTTCACGGGTCATGTTTTACGGCTCACACCGGTAAACCCATTTAAGGTAGGTGATCGACATAGCCGTTTATTCGTTACTGCGCCACATCGATCACCTGCTTTAACGAGCTTCCGGCACCGCCTTCCTACCACTCACACTAGGTGCATTCTAAATCTACAATAATTCCATTCCAACGTATGACATATACAGTCGATACTGTCTAATTATATGTCATCTGTCAAGAAATTTTTTATTCATTTATATATTGAATTTAGAAACCACCTAGATTAGATCCAAAATGCATAGGTTGTAATATTGTGAGGTCCGAAAACATGACTGATATCACGTGGCATAGATCCCGAATGTCAGATATATTCGATATATCTGATATATCTTGATATGTCGCCTATAGCACATAAGTGTGGTATCTTAAATAGATGCGATATATTAAACATGTTTGATATGTTAGATAAATTCATGATGTAAATAGACAAAACTATTTATTATAAATAAAGGGCTTTCTGAAAGTAATGAGTGATAACCCCAAGTAAATACATTTGCTTAAATAAAACTAAAGTATCGTAACCATATTGAAAGTAAAACTGTAGCCTAACACAAACAAAAACAATCGTTAAACCATCGTATCCAATTATCGTTTGCCCATTATTAAATCACTAAACCGCTGACACAGGCGAAACGGCCAGTCAGTCACTTGTTGATTGAATACATCATGTAACCTACGAATGGCTTAGTCGAAAAGAGGCAGTTAGATTTGGAGAGTGGTGTATTTATGTTTGTAGGTATTATTATGCAGTGAAAATAAGTAACTAGTTAGGAACAGGTCTTATGGTAAGTGTTAACTGAACTGTCTTTGTAGAGCATGAAGCCTTTATTATATATTGTTAATTACATATGCACTCTTTAAAGTATTAAACATATTAAAGCTATTAAATGTATTATCCTACTTATATCCCTCTAACGTCCCTTACTACTTAAAACCCATAACTTCTATATATCTTTTTAATCATAGTTATCTCTTAAAACTCTTATTTCTGCTATTACTCTTATAATCGCTAAACGTCTTTTAAAAGTGATAATCCCAGGAAGCCCATATTAGGTAAATGATCGATATAGCCATTGATTGTTACTGCGCCACATCGACCACCTCCTTCCACATGCTCCCAAGATCACGTTTCATGACTCACATTCCTCCCCAACTCAAAGTGAGTCCCACAAACTTCACAATATGAGTTGTCAAACTTTGGCACTTGTTAGTCTTCTGAAGTCATCAAGAGTTACTCCTAAGGTCCCATAAATTTGACTTATACCTTGAGATGAGAAGATATTATAGACCCTTATAGCTACAAGATAATAGTGTCTGGTTACGATCCTTCTCATATATGCTCTTTGGTCATTTGTGGCATTTGTGAACAGCATACCGAGATAATATGCATGGATCAAGGTATTGATCCAATTTCTAAGACATATCGCTTGGAATAACAATGAGTATGTCAGGGTCACAGCGGTCACGAGGTCATGTGACTCATTGAATGACAGTAGAGTAATAACGATATCATTGGACATGTGGGCTGTGATATCAATGATTATTTCGTTTAAACTCATAATGGTTAAAAGTTAATTATATTTGGTCCAAAAGAGATCTCTTACGCTTTTTTCATCCTCTTTTATACCTTTCGACCCCCTTTTCTTTTCTAAAAAAATTTTTTATTTTTTTTTTATTTCTTACTAATGATTCTATTACTTTTCTCATTAGGCTTCTTGTCAGTTGTAGTATCTTTTTAGTAGCTTGACATTTATAGGCAATGCTATTATACTTCTGGTTATAATTCTTAATTTAAATATGTTTTTGGGAAGTACCTCATGTACGTAATACAGTCCTTTCCATTTCGGGTCAAATTTTTCACTTTTACGACCTTCTAGTGATGCTCGATACATCAAGACTTTATCGCCGATTTCAAATTTGGTGCTTGATTGGATTTGTTTGTTATATTGTTCCTTCATTTTAATTTGTGCTTGTTGCACTCGTACAACAGCAGAGTTACAGACGTTAGGTAAGTTCTCAATAAGTTTTATTGTTTTTTGTATTATCGTTTTGTTAGCTAATTCTCTTGTCTCACTAGGTTCAATGTGTAACCATGCTTCACATCCGTACACCAAGAAAAATGGCGTGACTCTTGTCGTCGAATGCGTTGTCATTCGATACGCAAACAGGATTGCTGGTATGAGCAATTCTCATTTATTGACCATTTCTATAGTTCTTGCGATGGCCTCGCACAATGTTTTGTTGAATTGGTCCACTAATCCATTTGTCTGTAGATGGTACGGGGTGGACAGCAAATGCTTAATATGGAATTTCTCTAGTAATCGATCCACCACATGGTTGAGAAAATGCGAGCCATAATCCAATAGCAATTTTTTGAGACACCTGTGCTGGCAAATAATTTCATCGTAAATGAAGTTAAACACCTCGTGAGCATTCGCGAACTGAATTGCCCTAGCTTCAGGCTACTTGGTCATGTAATCTGTAGCTACAACAATATAGCAGTTGGATCTGGAAGTGATGGATAAGGGGCTGACAATGTCAATTCCAATCTGGTAAAATGGGACTGATACTGGTATGGGATGTAGAGAACCTTTCATTAGATTTTTACTCCTTTGCTGGCACTCATTACAAGATTTAACATATTCTTTTATGTTGTTAAACATTCTAGGCCAATAATATACTTCTCTAATCTTTTCGAACATCGCTTCCATTTTAAAATAGCCTCCTGTCGGGTGGTTATGTGTTATTAACAGGATGGTGTCTATTTCGGGCTTCTGTACCATCCTGATTAACCTGTCTAGATAATGTATGCTGGGTTTATAAAGGATTCCATTTCTTAGCCTTAAAGTTTTACTTAGTTTAATTATTTTACTTGTCTGTGTTTGGTTTAAGTTTGGGGACAGATATTGATTAATCATGTATTGTTTAACTCTATTAAACAGTGCTGGGTCCATTGTCTTTTTCTTATAGCCAGGACACCAACAACCTGGGCTGGATATTATTTTTCATTGGATTTATTTCGATTTAGCGTCTATAATTCTAATTTATGTTTCTTGTTATGTTTGCTTTCTGTTTACCAGCTGTTAATTCTTTTCATTAATTTTGTTTTTCATTGACTTTGTAGAAACTTGTTATCGATCTCAAGTGGGTGTACGATTATGACCTCATGATTCCTCCTCAGTTGGGCATTTCTATCAGCATTAACAACACATTCGTTCAAAGGCTCAGCATACCCTAGGTCGATTCCAGTACTATACAAGTATTCCCTCCAAGCTAACTCTTGGCATGCTTTACTAATGATCCAACTCCGTAATATTGACAAATTTCAGAGATCATGCACTACTAATCGAAAACTGCAATATCATATCAGGTAGATGGTATTACGTCGATGCAGCACTTCTAGGGTGTAATGGTCGAGTTCGGTCAGGTGGGAATATACATGGTATACTTTACCATATGACCTAGTTAAGTGGGTAAAGCGTAATGCCATATGGTATCCTATCGTCAATTTTTGGAACTTTATTAGGTTACTGTCTTGGATTCCAAGCCTATTTCTATCAATATGGGTTGTAAATCCTATCAAACTACTTCTTAATTCTTTACCTTCTTCCAATTTTATATCTTTTTTCCTTTTGTCAACCACATCTTCTAACATCATAAACGTTTCAAATTCTTCATCAGAATCCCACCATGTCTCTGTTACCTGGGAGGTATGTTAACCCACTTAATATCGTCCCATTCGTCAATATCATCATGAGCAGTCAATTCCATGCTTTCAACACTTCAAATGGTATATTCTTCTAATTCCGTTTCAACTTCACATTCCTCAGCATCATATTCTACTAGCAAGAGTAACCATTCCCTACATTTTTGTGCACTAATATTTATTTCTACCCTATTACTACTAACTTCCTGAGGGTAATATTGCTGAGAAAGTGCATCTGCATCACTATGCTTCCTACTAGCCTGATGTTCTATGGTGTAGTTGTAGGGTTGTAACCATATAATCCATCTAGCATGTCTCCTATTCAGCTCAGATGTATGGAGCCATTTCAATGTCACATGATTGTCACTACTATGAATGGCCTAAATTCGAAGTAATGAAGATAGTACTCAACAGCCCATAGTACTGCAAGACACTCCTGCTCCATGGTTGAATAGTTTTTCTCTACTCATTACAGCCCTCTACTAGCATATGAAATTGCATGATCCTTTTCGTTTTTTCTCTTTTGTACTAATACTACCCCCAATCCCATGCCGGATGAATCTGTATGTAAGTAGAAGGTATTTGAGAAGTTCAGATATTGTAGAACAGGGGCTGTAGTCAGGTGGGCCTTTAATCATTCAAAAGCATTTTACTGTTCATCGGTCCACTCATATTTAGCATTCTTTTTCAACAGGCTATATAAGAGTTGCGCTATAGTTGCAAAGCTCTTGATAAACCTACGATAATAGGACACTAGTTCTAAAAGGCCCTTAATTGTTGAGGAGTCTTGAGTATTGGGTAGTGTTTTACTTTATCAATCTTTGTTTCATCGGGTCGAATACTGCTATGTCCAATGACATACCCTAAAAACTGGAGGTCGATCTTAAAAAAACTACACTTTTCTAAATTAATTTTTAATCTGGCTAAATTTAGTTTTATGAATACTTTCTTTAGGTGGTCTAAGTGCTCTTGAAATGTTCTGGAATACACGTTGATGTCATCGATATACACCACCATGAATTTTCTGATATACTCTGCCTATACCTCATCCATCAATCGCTGGAACGTTGCAGGTGTGTTACACAACCCGAATGGCATTATCTTGAATTCATACAAGCCCTTTCTAGTTACAAATGCCGTCTTTTTCTGGTCGCTTGAATTCATTCGTATCTGCCAATAACCACTCCTAAGGTCCAGACTCGTAAACCAATTTGCATTCCTAAACATTTCCAGTAAATTGTCAATATGTGGTAGTGGATATGCATCCTTCTTTGTCACTGAATTCAACCATTGATAATCTATACACATTTGCAGCTTGCCACCCTTCTTCGGAACAAGTATCACTAGAAACACCCATGGGCTTTCAGATTTTCTTATTATTCCTTGCCTTTCCAACGACTTCAATTCCTTCTCCAAGAATTCCTGCTTGTCGGGTGATGTTCTGTAGAAATGTTGTTTGATGGGCTTAGCGTCAGTGGTATCTATATAGTGAGTGACAAGGCTGATTGTTCCTAGTTTATCAAAACCTATTGTAAGTAAACAGCTTTCTTCTTTAAAGAAAGTGCAGGCCTCTTCTCTCTCTTCTTTACTTAAGTTGTCAGTTTGAATAAATTTTTCCAACTGTTTCATCATGATAGGTTTAGTTTCCTCTTTCTTTTTCTGAGCAGGTACCTCTTCAACTAAGGTTAATATATTGCTGGGCTCATTTCGTCTCTTCACGGGTTATTATAGAGGTCGATTTCATTGTTGAAAGACTTTACAGTGTAATATCCATCAATCTTTTCTAATTCTTTATCTTCATAGATAAACTCGTCAAATGTATTGCCACTATCTTTCTTCTATTCATCCTTCTGAGGTTCTCTTAAGCTTTCTGTATCAGTGTAAGATATGGGCACCTTGATGGTTCTGCCTTGGTGCTTCAGGATTAATCGTCATTCATCGAAGTAGAGGTAGGCTTTGGCCTTTTGGAACCAATCGGTCCCTAGAAGTAACATTTCATTGGAGGATTCTATTACCTGTAGGGTGCTGGGGATTATCGTGTCTTGGATCACTATTCTTACATCATTGATTTTGTCTAAGGCCCTCATTTTGGCACCTGTGGCTGTGACTACGACAGTGGATAACTTCGACTATATATGGAGTCCTAACTTATCGACCAAAATCTTGGTCATGTTACTCATGGCTGCCCTAGAGTCTAACACTGCAACAATCAGATTATCACGAATCCTAACGTAACAGCATGCCGCCATCATCTTTCTATCATCTTCGAATTTTACATGGCTCACTTCTTGAACAGATGATAAGGATCTTTGCAAAGCTAGGGCCAGGTTCCTTCTTTGGTTGAGATACTGCAACATCTGGCCTATTATGACGTTAGTGGGGTCATTCATGATATCTTCCGCAATGTTATAGGAGGCGAGTTTATCAATCACCGATAGGTTGCACCTTCTTCTTGGCTTCCTTATAGGTATGGATTCATCTTCTTCCATCATGTCTAGGACTTTCTCTAAATTAACTAACAGTTGTTCATTTACAGTATCGTGATTTCTTAGATGATTTTCTTACTTGGATTTAGACCTTCCTTAAACCACCTTCTTACTATTCTCTTTATATGGTTGGTATCGGTTTTCATTTAAGGTATATACTTGTCCTCTTCTCAAACTTCGTCATAATATCTATTCACCTCCTTCATGTAGTTACTAACTCATTTCTCTACATAATCTCTTTTCAGTTTCTTTTCTAATAAACAGTTATGAGTGATATGACTGGTCTCTTTATAGTTATAACAAGTAAAGCCCTTCCTGGTTTCGTGATGTCTCTCTTGATCCTTATCATTTCTCCATCTACTTTCACCATGGGATTCATCAGTACGTTGTTCATTAAGAGTGTCATAATTTAGTATAATTTTCTCAATTTTCTGAGATAAGTTTCCTAGCTCCTCCTCTAGCTTCTTTTGGTGTCCTTTCTCTTGGGTCTGCTTGCTATAATATTCATCAGCTTTAACCCTTCGCGCACTAACAATGGCCTCCTCTAAAGTTTTAGGTTCAGAAATGGCAACAAAAGTTAAGGTCTTGCCACGTAGTCTGCTTAAAAACATTCTAATAATGTAAGGGTCAGGCAACTCGCCTTCGGGATCTACCCTCGCAACAAGATGTTTAAATTTCACCGCATATGCATCAACCTTCTCATCCTTTCATTGTTGAAGGTTATTCAACTCTATCTGCCAACAATGGTGTTTCTTTGGTGTAGCGAAAAATTTCAGAAAAGCATGATAAAAGCTTACTTCTTGATCATTATTGTCTTTTCACTCCTTCAGCTGCTCCTTCTTTTCTTTGTACCAATTTGCAGCCAAACCTTAGAGATATCCAGACATGATCTTCAACATTTTCTGCTTAGACCAATTGTTAGCCACAGTGGCTCTTTCGAATGACTCCAACCATTCGATGGGATCTTCTTCATCATTCCTATAGAAGGAGACAATCTTTACATGAGTTAACTCCCTTCTGTCTTTGGGTTCCTTTTTGGAGTTCGCAATGGTGGTCGCGACTTGGGTGAACGATGTAGTCAAACCTTCTAAAAGTTCCTTCAGCTGATCCTTGTTAATTCTGTCTGTAGTAGAGAGGTATCTTTCTAATAGTATGGTTATAAGAGAGGGGATTTTCAAGTACTAATGCAAAAATTCGAATTGGAGAGGGGGGGGGTGGGGGTAGCTAATGTTTCATATCTCACAGTCACCACCAAAATGACATAGGTGAAACGGCCAGTCAGTTGCTTGTCGATCGGATACATCATATAACTTATGAATAGTTTAGTCGGAAAGAGGCGGTTAGATTTGAAGAGTGGTGTATTTATGTTCGTAAGTATTATTATGTAGTGAAAATAAGTAATTAGTTAGGGACAGGTCTTATAGTAAGTGCTAACTGAACTGTCCTTGTAGGGCGCGAAGCCTTTATTATATATTGTTAATTACATATGCGCTCTTTAAGGTATTAAACATATTAAAGCTATTAAATGTATTATCCTACTTATATCCCTCTAATGTCTCTTACTACTTAAAATCCATAACCCCTGTATATCCCTTTAATCATAGTTATCTCTTAAAACCCTTATCCCTACTATTACCCTTATAATCGCTAAACGTCTTTTAAGAGCGATAATCCCGGGAAGCCCATATTAGGTAGATGATCGACATAGCCGTTGATTGTTACTGCGCCACATCGAACACCTCCTTCTACATGCTCTCGAGATCACGTTTCGCAGCTCACACCGTATTTAAATCGTTCGCCGTAAGTCACGTGACCCAACCGATTAACGCAAGAGAACTCCGACCTCAATTCGACGAATCGTAACCCAGGTTAAGGAAGTAGAAGGAAGATAAGAGCAAGCAGAGGTTAAAAGAAGGATAGGTTAAAGGAAGGACTTAGAATAGAAGAATAGTACTTACCTACGGATAAACCACTAGCCAAATCTAACACGCCTGTTTCAACTTAGCCACCGTAGGTTACACGAAGATTGGAAAGAATTAGCGACAGACTCACCGATTTGCCGCGCAACAATATAAAGAATCCAAATTATTACATCGAGTGCATTGTAAGTCACTTTAAGATAGCATTTATTCATAACACATTTAAAGAATATATGTAATTCGTAATATCGATTGTAAGTAGGTTTAATGTTCAGGATTCATCACGTGATGTTCTGGATAATTCTGACCAATGCTATAATTATGGCCGGAATTTACAGTAATCTCAGTAACAATCCACGAATACTGCGTGTGATTTTTCAAAAAAAAACTCGATTTGCCCATCACTAACAGTAAGCATATTCAAAATTAGTTAATTTGTAGATATTTATTGTTATGTAATATTTTTTTACAAGTAGATATTGAAATCGGTCGAAACGACGAGTCAGATCCAAATTCTCGTGTAACCTACGGTTGGCTTAGTCGAAATAAAGTTTAGATTTGTTCGGTGGTTTGGGTCCGTAGGTAAGTATTTCTTCTTCTCTTGTACTGTGGTTTTCCTTTCTTGAGCTGTCTACTAACTTTAATCCTCAATTACCTCACTACTTCGGGTAATTG